AACGTATATAATTCAATGGGTTTTAGTATTACTATATTTGCACGGTTGTACAGTCATCACCGTAATTTCATTTTAGAACATTTTCATCTCTTCAAAAAGAATGCTATCTATTAGCAGTGACTCTCCATACCCCCAGTCCCCAGTCTCCTCCTCCTAGCCCCAGGCAACCACTGAGAAACTTCACTTTTTTTTTTTTTTTTTTGACACAAGGTCTCACTTTGTCACAGTAGCTGTCGTGCAGTGGCATCATCATACCTCACTGCAACCTCAAACTCCTGGGCTCAAATGATCCTCCTGCTCCAGCCTCCCTAGTAGCTGAGACTACAGTCATACGCCACCATGCCCGGCTAATTTTTCGTTTTTTTTTTTTTTAGGGATGGGGTCTTGCCCTTGCTCAGGCTAGTCTCTAACTCCTGACCTCAAGCAGTCCTCCCGCCTTGGCCTCCCAAAGAGCTAGAATTATAAGCATAAGCCACCATGCCCAGCCGAAACCTCACATTTTTAAAGCATTTAAATTTAGTAAAGTAGTATGATTCTTACATAACACTGAATGTTAGTTACAGAAAATAGGTCAAGTCTAAATAAATGTGCTCTGTCTTTAGTTTGCGTTGAGTTTATAGTTCAGCAGAATTTTCTCAAGCAATTGCATGTACTTTTTCCCAATCTGTTACTTGTTACTGATTTTTCCACTATTTATACAAAGAAACTATTGCCCCCACTAGGTACAAAGTAACAGAGACCCAGAGATAATCAGGATAGCTGCCTGTGATTCAAGATAATATATATTCTGTGTTCGTGTGTGTGTGTGTGTGTGTGTGTGTGTTTGTATCTCATATATAGTTGTGGACAAATCTGGCTAAACCAGCAACTTTGAAATTCCCTCATTCTACAAAACAAAGTTTTGTTAGTGGGATACTTTGTTCAGGCTTGATTTCTTTAGTGAGTGTTGTGTGTGTTGTGGCTGCATCAAGATGTGGTTGGTACATTTGTGGGAGCTAAAAATACAAGCCACTTGACTTGGCCTTTCTCTGTTTCATGGGCAAAGACTGCACCCTCAGTTTTGGCCTCTCTTCCCGGAAATGCATAGTGTGTGGCTGGGTCAGTAAAATGTTTATCTCTACAGAATAGTGCTGTAGTATTTTAACATGTACAACCTTTGTACTTAGTATAATCTCAGCTTGATAAATTTAAAATATGGCCAGGCGCGGTGGCTCACACCTGTAATCCTAGCACTCTGGGAGGCTGAGGCGGGTGGATTGTTTGAGCTGAGGAGTTCGAGACCAGCCTGAGCAAGAGCGAGACCCCTTCTCTACTAAAAAAAAATAGAAAGAAATTATCTGGACAACTAAAAATATATAGAAAAAATTAGCCGGGCATGGTGGCACATGCCTGTAGTCCCAGCTACTCGGGAGGCTGAGGCAGTAGGATCGCTTGAGCCCAGGAGTTTGAGGTTGCTGTGAGCTAGGCTAACGCCACGGCACTCACTCTAGCCAGGGCAACACAGTGAGACTCTGTCTCAAAAAAAAAAAAAAATGTTAAATATTTTCACCTATAAAATTATCCATTCATAATGGCATGTTGGCTCACCAGGCATCTAATTCAACCTCCCTCCTGTAGCACAGACATTTCTCTGCTGTCACCCATAAAATACAGTCATCTAACCCTTGCATGAGTATTTCCATTCACAAGGAGTTCTCACTTTTCACTGTTCTAATTGGTAAGAAGTTCTTATCTACATTGCACTGAAATCTGCTTCCCTCACCTCCGATTGGCTTTAGTTCTGCCATCTAGAACAAAACTAGTATAGTCTGTTCTCCCTAAAATCATCATTTAGTCACTTGCACAGTGCATGATGATGTGGTCCTTGCTGTGTTGGTTGTCTTTCTGAGTGGTTTGGTGAAGGCTTGAGGCTGTCTCTGATTCCCTAGTGTCTTGCTCATTCTTCTGCAGTGCAACAGGGTGTTGCATTATTTGACTTTATCATTTTTCTGAACACTTGTCACATATCAACCTATAAAGAGGGATCAACTAAAACCTTCGAGTTCTTGCAACACTCATTTAGACTGTTGCGTTTAGTGTTATGACTTGAAGTTTCTTTTGCTTTTTGGGCATTTCTCTATCTAAGGTAGGAAACGAATGTTAAATTTTGATGTGTCTCTTCTAGATGAAGTAAAGAAGATCTTAGACAAATTTTACAAGAGGAAAGAAATTCAGAAACTGGGTGCTGATTATGGACTCGATGGTAAGGCCAATAGTGTCTTTATAGAGAGATTACTTCTTAGAGTATAGTTTTGTCAGGATTGTGTGAGACCTCATGTGGCTTGGAAATAAGAACACAGTTGTGGTCTGGAGACATGTCCCTGACCTTTGCTTCTGCCTGGGCAAGAGACTGGCAGGACTCACCTGGTGAGGCAGACTGTACCCAGAAGAGCTGTGTGCTCAGCCTTCCTTCATGTTGTGCTAGTATTTCAGTTTTACTCCAGATCATAATAAACTAACTGTAGTACTAAAAAAAAGATACTTGGATGACTATGGTGTGGTGTGTGTGTACTTTTTAAAATTAAAAACTGAGCTTTATGTATTTGGATTTTGTGTTTTCTGCAGCTCGTCTCTTCCACCAAGCTTTCATAAGCTTTAGAAATTATATTATGCAGTCTTATTCCCTGGATGTGGACATTCACATTGTTTTGAATGATATTTGCTTCAGTGCAGGCAAGTGTTTAGAGAATTTTTTAAATCCTGTTGAACATACTTTCTATTTCTTCCCATACTTCATATTTGTTTCTCTAACAGGGCTTTTTGTTTTAGAATAGATCCTGGAAACAACCTCTGTAAGTAATTCAGTGCTTTGCTGGGAGGCCTTCTAGGTCATTTGCTTTATGCTGGGTCCCTTAGCTAGTGATTAAACCACCCATATGTCTTAGATTGGAGGAAGACTGGGGCCTTGGTCTGTCATCATGAGCTCTCTACTGTGTGTTAATACAGGCCACAGTGAAATGGGCTCTCCCACAAGATGGAATTAGTGCATAGCAGATTCCATCTGTTTCTGCCACTGGCCTCTTTCTCCTTCATATCAGAATAGAGTTCTTGCTGTAAAAGAAAATGTAAGAACATATCATTTTATTTCCACAGACATTTTCGCTTAGGTTTTAATTTTTAGATGTTTTTAACTGTTAGATCTTGGAACCCTGTGTCAGGTACTAAGGGAGAACCTGGATACAAAACAGAATGGGACATGGTCCCACCGTCCTCTCAGAGCCACTAAGACATGGAGAATTCTTGCTGAGAAACCAGCTCACTTTCATGTTTTGTCTCTCTGTGGTCTTCAAAGTTTAAAAAACATTTGGACCTTCAACTCTCTTCATGTAACCTCAGGCCTTCTCGCTAATGTATATTTCTAGGTTCCTTGTTTTTAATTTAACTTCTACCAGTGCTAATCTTTGCCTGTTTGCACTGAAGGAGTAGAATATGGTGATTGGCAGCTAATTTTCTGTTTTCCTGGGAACATAAGTGAAATTCAGAGGAAAAAGTAAGACAAAGCAGGATCCCAGAAAAGGATACAGGGTCCCCTGCTCCAGGACTTTGCTTTTTATCTAGGCATTGCCCCTCTAACTTAGCTCACTGTGAAAAGAGGTTTCACCAAATCCAGTTATGGATAACATGTAGATTGCACATGTTAATGCACCGTTGTATTTTCCAGCTCACGTGGATGATTTATTTCCATTCTTCTTGAGACATGCCAAGCAAATATTTCCTGTGTTGGAATGTAAGGATGATCTACGTAAAATCAGTGACTTAAGAATACCACCTAACTGGTTAGTTTCGTCATTTGTGGTTTTGAAATCTCCAGTTTCTAATTTTGGGTGATGAGTGATCATTATTTTTTTTATTGCATTCTAGATAACAAATTATAAGGAGTCTGGTTTATGTTGTTTTCCCTAAAAAAATATGCAGTTAATTTTGTCAGGCAATTAACTGGTGTCTCCCCTTGACCCCTGATCAAGCTTGGTTTTAGGTTTTATTAGGGCAGATCTAGAGTAGCCCTTATGAGTGTTGTCTTTACGTCTAAGGTACGGCCTTTCTGGCATCTTAGCTGAATGCCTGGGCATTAATGAGTTCTTTCCACCATGGCTGGAACTGCAGTATCTCCTTGCATTTTGAAATCCCTTTGAGACTTTTTGCTCAAACCTTTGGTAAGCTTTTCTTTTAGCCCTACTAATTCTTCCCTTGCACATGTATAACCCAGCCCTTGACCAAGAACTCAAAGGGAACTCCCATACAGACATCAGGGCTCCCCCTCCCTGCACTCTTTCTTCTCTTCCACATTCTATCCTTCAAATCCCAGCTGCTTCAGCAGCTCTGAATTTGATCTCTGCTGCTTGCTTCAGTGGGACTATTGTATTCCGCTTGGGTTCTACCTCCCTATGCCCTCCTGGGGTGCAGTAGGGCTTATCTCAAGTGTTCCCTTTTTTCAGGGGTTGCAGTCCTGCACTGTGTGTCCATGCCCCCCAACAGCTGCTGTGTGTATTTTGTCCATTTTTGTACTCGTTTGTGGTGGTAAGGCAAGTCCAGTGCCCGTTATTATGGCCAGAAGCAGAAGACTCAGTTATTATATTTGTGTACATTGCAATTAAGAGGCCTGGGAATATTTGCTTTTAGGATTATGTGTTCAGAGCTGTAGTAATGACATGAATATATCTGTGGAACTGATAGCAGTTTAAACTTATTTTTAGTAACTCCCGAGAAAAAGATTTGTATAATGGGAAAAATATGTAAGACATTAATTTGCATTTGGGCTTTTCTGTCCTCTAGTTAGTAAATGCTATTCTTGGAAATCAGTCATTATTTTAATGTGGATATAAAACCCATTGTTTAATTTAGTTTTCCAAAGACTGCCTTGTGAATGTTAAGAGGATGTTCATTTGGAATTTTTTTCAAAGGATATCTTTACCGGGATGGATTTCGAGGTTAATTGGATTAACTTGTTTACTTACTCATATTTTAGGTACCCAGAAGCCAGAGCCATACAGCGGAAGATAATATTCCATTCAGGCCCTACAAACAGTGG